ATCTCCAGGTCTCTGAACAGCACCAGCTGAGAAACCTGCCCCCCCCCCAAAAATATACACTGAATCCCCCACCACACCAGACAACCATGTTGGGCTTGAATGGAAAAAAAACCAAACCCCATCCCCAGAAGGAAGAGCTGGTTGGCGGTTGGTGGAATCCTGGCAACATCCCAAGACCTGGGCATCTTGGAGGGGGAGAAGACCCTGGCTAGGAGGTGCCCTCGGATCTTATAGGGTGCTAATGCGGGAAGCACGGAGGCGTAGCAACCTTCCGTCCTTTGGAAGAAGGCGCCGAGATGTTTCAGAACGGTCTCCGCAAGATCTGCGGGAAGGATCCGCTCGCTCCTTCTCTCCCCTCGCCGATTCTTCCTTTTCACTTGGATGGCGTGGGTGTGCAGGGGGCCCAAATGGGAGGAGGGGGTTCCCTGGGGGAGGCTGCCCACGCCTGCCCTCAATCATCCTCCTCGTGTAGGTTCACAGAGGAGGACTTTAAGCAGAAAGGAAAGCGGGCAAGCCCTGGCCCCGTCTCGGCTCAGTATCAAGCCACGCTCGGGGTGGCGACACCCACCAGGGCTCCCGAGGCTTCCTCGGCTGGACGTTCCCTTGGCTGGGGACACTTTAGAGAAGTCCCGGGAGCCTTGGTCCCCTCGGGCCGCCCCGGGAGACACGCCTTCCTCCAAAGCCACCAGGAAGCCCAGGGAGAGACCTTTGGGAGCCTCGTTGAGCACAGCAAGTCAAAAGAGGCAGCCCCTTCTTTGACAGACCGAAGACCCTCCTAGGACCCTTCCCCAGGTTTTTAAAAGCTTCCGGGAAGGCCCTTCTCTTGGTCCTGCTGCCTTCGCAGGGGTGTCTGATGAGGACCTAGGAGAGGCTCTGTTCCTACGGCTATGGAACTCCCTGCCACAGGAAACTCAGCTTTCCCCTCTCGGATCTCTTTTGTATGGCCTCTTGGTGGGTCTTGCTCATGGTTCCTCCCCACTGCTGTGTCACGATTATATTCTCAGGCAGGTCAAACGGAGAGACTGGTGGCTTGGAGTTGACCCCCCCACCCCACCCTAGAGGCACCCTATCCTCATTTTATGACATTCCCAAGGGGCCTTTTTGAACCTGCTGTTTCCTGGAAAGATTTCCGAGACCAGGGACGTGAAGGTCCCTCAGATGGAGTGGGCACAAAGCGAGGGGGGGTCTGGCCTCCAAACCATGCGTAGCCCTTTGTGGCTTGTTTTAAAACGTCCCTCTCCAACAGCTCCTCATTTCCCTACTTGGCTTATACCGAATGTGCATTTAGTTTGAAAACTTTGTCATTTGTCTTCAGGCCCGTTTCCCGTCAAAAATGTTTTAAAACCTCCTACAAATTAAAAGCAGGATGAAACAAGGATCTGGGAGGCCGTGCCCCGTTGCCTACCGAGAGGGAAACAGCCATTTGTTCCACTCTGAAAGAGCATTAATCGTGCGCAGAGAGACCCTGCGAGGGGCTGGCCGGGCGCCCGTATTAATCTTGGCAGAACAAGGGAAAACAACACCCGTTAAGGCGAGTAATTAAACGTCTCCGTGGGGAAGATGAACGGGCAGAAGGGTTTCGCATTCAAGGGTGTCCCTCAGAAACACACCCAAGGAAGTGAGTTTGCTTCCAACACCCTCGATAAACGGCCAAAGGCAGAGATTCGCCTAAAACGGTGGACAAATACAGAGCTCGCTCCCTGAATGGATGGGTCCTTCTCGGGAAGCCAGTGCCCGTGACCGAGGCCTCATTCCAGCAGGTCGGCCATCAAGCCTAAGCCCATGAAATCCACGGGATTTATATAAGTGTTGATTCACTCCTCGAGAACGGAGTCTCTGGGTCAACTTTAGCCGGGAAAGCCGGACAGATGGAGGCAAAATGATCTGGGCTACTTCTTTTCTTAAAGGCAAAGCAAAACAGTGAATTGATCCTCCCGACATCTTTACCTCAGCTCAAACCCTGGTCGGATCAATTTGGGGCCACGGGACCCCCTCCCCTCTCCCCCAGTGGGGGCTATAAAAGGGCCAGGAGGTAGGAGTCAAGCTGCACCTCAGAAGTAAGGTGGCAAACTGAGACCAAAAGGGACTTTAGCGGCACCAGCTTTTCCTCATTCCTTTCAAACGTTACTTTTAAAGTCTATTTAAAAGTCAGTGCTCCTTGTATTTAGGGGACTTTTGGTAAGGATCGTTTGCAAGGGGAGTTGGGGGCTGCCATCCTTTTACGGATCCTGCGCCCCTTCCCCCTCAAAAAAACCCCAAGGAGAACCTTGAACAAGTTGGTCCTCATGGAAAGTCACAAATTTGAACAAGTCCCTTTCTCAGCAATATCCGAAGGAATGGCAACCTATGATTTTTATGCATATCTAACATTAAAAGATTAATTCAAGCAACTCCTTTGGTTTCTTCTTTTTTTAAAAATTAACAAGATTCATCATATGCAGAATATTCCATGACTGTGTGTAGTAAGCCCTAGCATTGCTCATGCGAAGGAATAAGCGCCACATGAGTCAGACGACACGATGCCCATGAAAAAGGCGCATTCCTCCTTCCTCTCTGTCAGGCATCTGGTCGTTTTCTGCGTTCACGCAGGACAGAGCTGAAACCACTCCATTTTCTTCTGAACATTCAGCGTTTGTGTCGAACATCCCCTTCTTTGCCTTGGGGGACAATCGGAGCACCGTTTTCCTTGAAAGGGAGCCTGCTTTCTCCACCTCCCGCTTCTCTTCTGCCACCCACCAGGTATCCAGGTATCCAGAAGGGTCACCATCCTGAGCGCACACACACACCCCACACACACACACCCTGCTCCCTCCATGGCCACATCCCGGGTGTTCCACCACAACAGCGTAATCTTGTACCCAAGGAGACGCCCTGCTCCCAATCTGAAGGGTGTTTTGTCGTGGGCTGTGGGGCACCGTCGTCCAGAGGCGAAAGGACAGGGGGATCCTCTTCTCTCCCCCGCCCGCCCCCCCACCTCCTGCCTCTCACCTCAGGGGCAATGTAGTCCGGAGTGCCGCAGAAGGTCTTGGTGGTGATCCCATCCCAGATATTCTCTTTGCACATGCCGAAATCGGCAATCTTGATGTGCCCTTCTGAGTCCAGCATCACATTGTCGAGTTTCAGGTCCCTGCGGCATTCAAAACAGATCCTGGTCACAAAAGCGTTGCGAAAGGGAATCTCCCGCAGACGCTGTTCGTCTGGACTCTCCCATCCAAGGAAGCAGCATCCTCAGCGGAGCCTGGCAGTGTGAACCCTGAACCTGAACCTGTTTTTGCTCCTGCTGTCATCCTTATAAGCACCACCTTTGCTATAACAGCCAAGACGCCTTCGGTCCTTTTATAGCCCGATGGTTAAAGCCACTTTTCTTTTTTATCAAGGGCCCTCAAGGAAGCTAAGTGGGGCTCGACCAGAGCTTCTTCCACTGGCAAAGCTAAGGAGGGCTGGAGGAGAAGGGTCTGAACACCCGGGGTCCAAGGGGAGAGGGAGGCCAGGAGGGAGCATTTTCCTGAGAGAGAGAAAAGCGCCCTGGGTAGCCCGGCCAGCGGCAAGCCTGAGGAACACTGGCAGCTGGTGCCCCTTGTGTGGGTGGGGGTTTTGGTGGGGGGAGAAGGAAGTCCTAAGGGCCAACTGCAGGCAGAGCCAGGCTAGCAATCATCACACTCTATCTCCCAGAGAGGCTGGTGCACATTTATCTGGACCTCGATTCTGCTGAGAAGCAGAAAAAGGCCCCTTGCCAGCCAACAAGGAATGTTCTTTCCTTCTGCTGCTCTTCTTGGTGCCCACTTTATTCACGGATGTGCATTTTTTTTTATTACAGTGATACTCCACTTAGTGCTGAGAATGTGCTTGAAGACCCCGGAGCACTAACTGAATCAAACAGGGCAGTTCGATGTGGTATTTTGGGCCAGGGGTCTGGGGGTGGATGGGGTGGGGTGGCTGGTCTACTTCCAGCATGGAGCAGATAGAGCAGGCTCCAGGTCTTCCAAGGGCCCAGCTGGTCTCCTCTCTCAGAAGGGAGAGACGGGGCCTTTCTGTCCCTCAGATAGCAGGGTCCAGGTCTTCCAAGGGCTCAGCCAGTCTCCTCTCTCAGAAGGGAGAGACAGGTCCTTCTGTCCCTCAGGTGCCCATGCTAGCAGCAGAGCAGGCAGACTGGCCCACGTCTTCCAGAGGCCCTGACCGCCTCCTTTAGGTAGACCAAGACTCGGCTGCGCACCAGGGAAGAGCCACCCAAGGATGCACGCTGTAATACATCAGCACTACACTGGGCCTCTTTATTCAGGGCATTGCTGGATTATGGCCCAATTGTTAAAAGGAAGGAAGGAAGGAAGAAAAGAGGAAGGAAGAGTTCATGCCTGCTTCCTGCAAATATCGCCAATATCCAAGGGGCAAATAGCCACCCAGTCGGTGACACGGGGGGAGCTGCAGATCGAGCACCAGATCAGAGTTCAGAGCCCTGATCTGAACTCACAGCACCAATGAGGGCAGCCGCATTTCTGAGAGTCGCAGGGGAAAGACAGGCCCACTTACCGATAAACGATCCCTTTGCAATGTAAGAAGAACAGCCCAATGGCTATCTCTGCCGCGTAAAACCTGCAATGAAAAACCAAGATAAAAACCAGGAGGGCTGGCTGGTGCCCCGGCCGTGCCAAGGAGAGGCTTTGGAAGGAGAGGGCTGCTCTCTGGTCCCGAGGCGAGGAGCCACCCACCCCTGGCACCCCTTCTCTCCCACCGTCCCCACCACCCTGTGCTCCCTGTCTCAGCCCGGGCATACGTGAGGAGCGCCAAACCAACTTACACGGCATGAGGCTCTTTAAACCTTCCGACCTGTTGGATCTGGTACATGAGATCGCCCCCGTTCACGTATTCCATTACAAAATACAAGCGATCCTAAAGGTAAGGAAGGGCAGGGAAGAGAGAAAGATGCACTGAGTGTAAGCAAAGAAACCACCGAGACGGACTCTGAGCTGGCTGGATCACTTAGTGAGTTGGAGCACACGGTTGGGGAGCCAGAGGTTGGGAGTTCGATCCCCCCCCTACTCCAGAGGTTGGGAGTTCGATCCCCCCCCACTTGTGCCTCCTGGGAGAGAACAGCCGGCCTGGGGGACCTTGGGCCAGCTGCAGAGTTCCAAAGGCACCCCCCAGAAGAAGGGAAGGGGAGACCATTCACTCAGAAAACCCTGAAAAGGGTCAGGACTGACTCGGCAGCTCATGGTTATTATTATTCAACTGACTGTGAGGATTGCTTTACTCCACAGAGGAAATCAGCCGGTGTGTGACCTGTGCCCAGGTCATGTCAGAGAGGATCTTGGCAACGAGATAGTGATACGCTGGCTTTTGGTGTCGGTACAAACAG